AATATCTTAAAGAGATTTATTAGTCAAAAAGAATGAAATAGGATATTGCAAACTATGTGGCAAGATGTTTAACATGCCGGTAAGTTAAAGTTGAGCACTAAAGGCCGTTATGATTATTAAGGTGATTAGATATTCTCGAATGAAAGTGAGAACACATATCGATGGATTTTATATTGGAGCTACCTAGGTCCGAGTGAGGAGCGAATGACATATGGGTTATAATGGATCGATTAACTAAATCGACTCACTTTCTAGCAATTAAAACAACCTATTCCATGCAACGAGTATATAGATTTATATTCAACAAGATGGGAGAGGTATTTATCACTAGCTAAGTTTGCTTACAATAATAGTTACCAAGCAAGCATCGGTATGACACCCTACGAAGCTCTATAAAGAAGAAATTACCGATAATTGATACATTGGGATGAAGTAAGCTAATGAAAATTATTGAGACTAGAATTAATCTAGCAAACGACTAACGTTTAGCTAGTTAAGACAAGGATGAAAATAACACAAAACCGACAAAAGAATTATGCTGATGTAAGAAGGAAAGAATTGAAATTTCTAGTCGGTGACAAAGTATTTTTAAAGATAGCCATTATGAAAGTGTGATGAGGTTTGGAAGGAAAGAAAAATTGAGTCCGAGGTCTAGAAGACCTTATGAAATATTGGAGAGAATTAGTGATCGAGCTTATAGATACCATCCTCGCTCTCATTAGTCCATAACATATTCCATGTATCTATGCTTCGAAGTATGTGAAAGATCCAAATCATGTATTGAGTAATGAACCCTTAGACCTCCAAGCCGATATGAGCTATGAAGAAGGGCAAGTACAAATCTTGGATTGAGAGGTCCGAAATTACGAAATAAGAAAGTTCCTTTAGTCTAGGTGTTATGGAGAAACCATGAAGTAGAAGAAGAAGAAACGACATAGGAAAGAGAGGTAGAAATGTGAGCCCGGTATCTTGAATTATTTTATCAAAACTTTCAAGGGTAAAATTTTTACTAATTGGTACTCATTAAAGCTAAAATTAAATAAAATTAAATATTAAACATATGTAAGAAATGTTTTGAAGGTGTAAAACAATCTTTAAGGACTTGAAAAAGTATTTAGAATAGTTAAAATAGTTCTTTTATGCTTAATGAATATTTTATTGATTTTACGAGGAATGAATAGTAATTTTCATATGAAATAATTATTTTGAGCATATTGCACATGTGTGAAAAATATTTTGGTTGCTTAGAATATTGTTTAGAGGAGCATTAAATTATTCTTTGTGATTGTGTCAATTATTTTATATGTTATGAATATTCTATTTGAATTTTCATGTGTAGGAATAGTGTTTTAGAAGTAGAATAATTAAATTAGACACTTAAAAAGTATGATGAATTTTTTTAAGGGCCTAGGAAAATCATTTAGGATGTGTGGGAGTACCTAATAAATTTAAATTAATTTTTCTATATATAAGAAATATTTTCTACATAAAATAGTGTATTTTTTACTCTAAATAATTAATTTGGAGGCCTAAATATGGGTATAAAAATTATATACATCATGATTAAATTCTTTTAATAAATTTTTGAATTTTTTTGGAGTGAAATTAAATTTTGGAAACGTAAAGAACAAAATTTTAGAATTAAGAATCTAATTACATAGAAATTAGAAACCTAATTGTATAAAATTAAATGTTTGAACTTTTAAATTAAATTAGCTATTAACCTAAGGAGTTTAAAGATAGCTTTAAGAGAAGAACTTAAAGTGGTCAATTGAAAAATTAAGGGATGATTAGATGATTAATTAGAGAAAAGATTAGTAAAATGAGAGACTAAAATGAAGCAAAATTTTGGACACTCTTTCATCTTTCTAGCCAAAATTTTGTTGTATGATTAGGGGTTAATTAATGAGCTTTGACTCATTTAAAGAGGAAGGGCTAAAAGGATGCAAAATGGAAGGCTAAAAATTAAAGAAAGGTTAAAGGCTAAAAACTTGTCCGTTTGAGGGGCTAGGATTAAAAGTTAATTTAAAGGCTAGGATTTCTCCAAAATATAGCAATTCAATGGTGAATATAAGGTCAAAATTCCACCAAAAATTTGCTTATAAATAGGTTTGCAAGAAATTAGAGAAAATACATGGAAATTAGCTAAAACCAAAGGGAAATCTTGAAAAAATTCATTAGGAATTTCCACCAAAAATCCACTCAAATCACCTCCAAACACCTTGAATAAACTAATCAAGTAAGGAAATCAAGTTAGGAGACCAAGAATTATCAAGAGGAAATTTGGAAGTTTAGGCCAAATTAGTGGAGAAAAGAGGAAGGAAAAAAATTCTTCATCACCTCACTTTTTAAGGCTTAATTAGAGCTTAATTTGGTAAGTTAACTTCACCACAATCACAAAATAATTTAATTGGTGTTAATTTATGATTTATGTGCTTTAATTTGTGAATTTTAAGTTTAATTTAAAAAATTAGGGTTAGGATTCTTAATGAAATAAAATTAAGAGAAATGAAATTAGACTTATAATTCATGCAATTGAGGTTGAACTACGTTAATTGAACTTAAATTTGAGGTTTAAAACTCAAAAATTTCTAGGGTTAGGAAGAGAGGAACATTCAGCCTAAAGTGATGATTAGAAGGGTTTTTGATTCTTTCATGTAATTGATATTTTAGAACTTAATTAGGTATGAATTAGTGTTGAGTAATGAAAAATATAATTTAATTGACAAAAAAATCCATGAAATACTTAGGGTTTTATTTGGTGTAAACTTGGAATTTTAAGGTTTTGATTTCACCCATTCAATTCATGATTTGTTAGTCAATTAGTAATTGAATGAGTATAATATGATGAGTAGGAAGGAAAATTAAAAAAAAAAAATTGAAGAAAATTGTTTAATTTAGCTTAGGCCCAATTTCAGCACATTAAGGCGCAATTTGGGTTGGACATGGAATTATTTCATAAATGTTAATTAAATTGATCCCTATTGATAATGTGTATCTAAAATACTTTAGTATTAAAATTTTTAGAATGGAATGAGAAGAAAATAATAGGGTTAAGGTTAAGGGTATATTTGGCCTAAATGGGCAAGTTTAGGGTTTAGGTTCTAAATGGCCTTTAGCGCTTAAATTAATTAATTCAATCTTAGAACTATGTAATTAAGTGAATTAGAATGAAAACTTCATAAAAATCTAAAGGTTAGCTTATATTAGTAAAGTTAGAATTTAGGCCCAATAAGGCCCAAATTGAAACTAATGCATATAATTAGCTAAATAATACTTTATTAAGTTAGTTCATGAAGTTAGGACATAATTGAGAAGACTTGAATGTGAAATGGGTGTCAAAATTGAAAGAAAATGGTTGTCTTATATTAGAACATAATTCGATTTTGTGTAGGAAAACTTAGGACTTTGGTTTATTTTGTGTAATTATATAACTAATTGTGTTTTTGAATGATATTTAATGTTTATGAATCATGGATGTTGTATATTATTGAGTTGTGGATGATTGTGAAATTATGCTTGTTTGGATGGCATATTGGTGTTAGTATGGATTGTCATGGTTATAATTATTTATGCAAGGTAATATTGTTAATGTAATTGTGTTATTGGTTTTATACACTATCATGGCATAATTACATGATTATTCATGGCATGCACCTCATGAATCAATATTACTTATGCATTACCAAAGAAATGCTTATGCATGCCAAATTTTATGAAAAACATTTTAAAGTCATGAAAACGTGTTTTTATGTCATGATTTTTCACTAGCAATTGGAAATACTTTAAACAATGTGATTTTCATGGCCTTGAGGATTTTATGAGAATGGGCTTCATGGGTTTTCCATGCGATGATGATAGTGGATTATAGTAGGGCAAATGTAGACATGGATTTTTAGAAGCTCGACGAGACAAGTCCATAGATAGGTCCGGTTTGCCAAACATATAATATGAAAACCCTAGAGTACCTAAAATGGGACATGTCAAAATATGGAAAAAGATTTTCAAACTGATCATGGAATGTATTACAACATGAAAAAAGGATTTCATATGCATACACCAATGTTTTACGGGTGCATATACATTCAAATACACAACATGCATAAGTTAAATTACTAGACTATTGCTCACTTAGTTTCTTGTGATGTAGATAATTGAGGAGCTATAGCTTCTCTATTAAGCTAAGTTTTGAGGGGTAGACTAGACGTATATACCTAGGTTAGGTTTTTGGCTTCTAGGTTGATCTATTACATGTTATTACGTTTATCATCCTATATATACTAGGATTAGGTGGTCTATTTTTTGGTATAGTAAAAGCAATGAACACATAAATGGAGAACTTTTAAATAACGTTGTAAGTCAATAAGCCAATTTTGTAGTACTTAGAAATAAACTTGTTTTATATGTAAATAGTAGGTTGTATGTAACCTATGTACCAATAATAAAGTGGTAGTGTACTCATAGTTAGTCTAGTACTTTTAACTATTCATCACATGTTAGTACCTCAAAATAGTAAAATAATATAATTAATTATATGCCAATTAAAGAAAATGGTAACTAAAGAAAAAGATGAATAATTGAATAATAATATGAGCTATAATTGAATAGATTTACATAAATTAATAGGAAATGAATTTAGGATAATAGATTATCGCAAATCTAATTATTCCAATCCGAAGAGCGTAATTAAAATTCTTAGATGCAAAACATTTATAATGCCTTTTAGTGAAAGTGTAGGACCTACTTTGTCAATTTTAGATTTTTATAACATAAGTTACACTTCAAGCTTTAAAGATTAGGCCATAGTGCCTTCTTAGATTACATTTCATTGTACCTCAAATGTAGGTTAATAGCAGTAATATTCTTAACCTTTTAGGTCCTTTGTTAGGGGTGTTATATATATGGTATCAAAGTAAAGTTTTTCAAATCACATCTAAGGTATATGAAAGGCGACCTTGAAAACCACTAAGTACAATGAATGTAAGCCAATTGCCCAAACTATGAGCTTGGTGAAGGGAGTCAAATGGGAGAAAGAGGTTATGGAGGCAGAGCTAGTTGTTGAGGAAGCTATAGGGTATTTAGCTAATGTTAGGGAGATGCTCATAGCATGAAAGAAAAGAGGCATCGACATAATTGGCTTAGAGGATGATTGGAGGAGAAAAACCATCTTTTATACATGTTGTACTTATCGAGGTAAAGTATGTAATATGATCATTGATAATGGGAGTTATGAAAACATAGTGGCGTAAGAGATGGTGGAGAAGCTTAAGTTAGAGAGTACAAATCATCCCGAACTTTATATGATGGATTAGTTAGACAAAGGTGGTGGGATAAAGATGTCTAAGAGATGCTTAGTCGGTTAACAATACCGGGATGAATTTTTATGTGATGTTCTTCCTATGACTTGTAAACATGTATCATTAGGTAGACTTGTCATATGATTGACGTATTAAGCATGATATTTATAAGAGCACATACACCTTGAAGTTGAATGGATAGGTAATCACCTAGTTACCATTTAAACCTAAACATGTGATTACTCCTGGTTAATTTATAGTTCTTTCTTACTTTGTAGATATGGTATTTATTGATCATGATGCTTTTACACTACCCCCTCTTAGTAAACATGATGATATGCTTAATGTATTGGACTATAATGTAAGTGATAACTTTGAGTCTCTTATGGAATGGGATTTACCACCCATCATTGATAAGTATACTAATGGATGGATGGTAAGGTCACTATGTATTATAACAATCTTGTGGGGGTCGAGCATGAAGGTCGAGGGTGAGGTCGTGAATAGTATTAGAAAATTGAGGGTTTATATTGAGAAAAGGGCTATTGTATTTAAGGTTTTCATGAGCCAAGATACTCGTTATTCCTAGTATGGTCAAGAGTCAAGGTACTATAGTAGAGGCTGGCATCATGATAGGGATTGATGTTTGAGGATAGTCTATGAACCAACGGGCTAAATTAAAGGGAATCAAGAGCAAAATGACAGAGCTAAAATTGGCCGAGAGCAACACTATTGCATATATGGTGACCAAAGGTGTTAGAGCTAACTTGAATTCGTAAGGAAAGGGTCATTTTATGAGAGGTATGGTTAGTTCGACTTGATGAATGCTGACTTGTTCTCTCTTACCACTATTCCATATCATAAGAGTATTCCATATCATAAGAGTGACTAAGTTTGGATTCGAATGGGCACGAAGAAAGTTTCCAAGGGAGGGCTATCAAGTTCAAGGAAGAAGAGGGTACTTTCAAGGTATCCAAGAGAATAAGGGAAGATAGTTATAAGGTTAGACTTTATTCCACACATTTAATTTCAACAACCTTCCAAATGGATAAGCTTCTACCTTACATTGATCTTGAAGATTACCCAATGAAGTTGAGGATGACTTATCTTCAAATTAGTGAGACCGATATAAAAGTGCTTGCCAAGAGTTAGAAAAGATCGAGAAGATGGAGAATGCTTAAGGCTAAGACCTTTAATGAAGAAAGAGGTCAAAATCCATCATTATTTTTATGCTTTATTTAATTTTATGAGTCTTAGGATTTTCCCATGTTAGGTCCGATTTAATTACTTTGGTATTTTTGGATTTCGGCTAAATAATTAGTCCTTCTTAGGTTTGGGTTTATTCAATTTTTCTAGTGGGTTTCGAATTGGCCTAGGAGAATATGTGTTCCATATTTATTTTGGTAGTCCACAATCACCGAGGGGTTTAATTAGCTAGGTCCATATTTATTTATGCTTATAAGAGGGGTCTTTAATTTTTTGGAAAGGAAGTTAAGTTAAATCTCCGAGTAGGTGAAGCCTTTCTATTCTAGTTAGGAGATTAATGCTAGCAAAAATTCTCTAATTTTTATTAGGGAACTATGTTTTTTTTCCCTACCATAATTCCCTAGTATTTAAAAAACCTTATGTGTAATTTTGAGGTAGATTTTTGTCGAATAAAAAAAAAGCCCTTGTGTGAGAATTTTTTCGTAGTTGTTCGTAAATAATATAGAACACCAAATAACATTCTTTGTAACATAGAACATATCCTTATCCTTGGCACTAATCACCCAAAGTGGCGGTTTGATCATACATTAGTGTTTGGGCGGTGACTTTCATGAATTTTCAAAAATATCTATAGGATTCAAAAAATTTTGAAATTTCTTAGACCTTTCCCTGTTGGTTAACTACTCATGGTTAAAATTTAATAATTTTTTGGTTAATGTAAGTGGTAATGAGATTTATTTTTGAAACATGACATGCTAGAATTCTAGTGTTGTTTGGGAATTTTTGGATATGTTTGGAAATTTATTTTTTGTTGAGTGTTGTGGATTGCTTATGGGGGTTTGATTGTCATTACTTGACTTATCCTAAATATTATTAAATTGAGTGTGGGTTAATTTTAGGCCATAGAATATCCGTTGTTGGAATCTCGGTTTGTAATTATCTTGGTAGAATCTGTATTAGCCCATCACTCCATTACGGCCTCCCTTTCCTAGATGGTATAATTTGAATGAAGCATGTGAGTATCAAAACAATGTACCTAATGACAATATTCATAAGGTTTTTTAATTTTAAGAAAACAATGCAATCCTTAATCGACTAGGAACTAATAGTGTTTGAGGATGCTCTAAATTCTCCAAATATGAATAATAATTCATTGCTAAACCATGTTGCTAATTGAGGGATAAACATGATATCACTCGATGATAAGACATATGACAAGGAGATATTAGATTTAAAAGTTTTCATGTCTAGTTTGTTTAGTATGATGAATGCTAGTGGCATTGATATGAAACCTTTTAACTTATAAGCCTTTGTTCATCCTAAACAATTTTGTAAGTTCCACAAGACAAAATGGCATGATATTGATGGTTGTGACGAATTCCACCACCTAGTTTAAACTATGCTAGTATTAGGAACCTTGAGGGTGGAAAAGATGGAAGGAAATCTCAAGGTGAATATGTTGTCCTCAAAGAATGATACAAATCGATCTAAATCCTTTAAGTATGAATCGGTTAGAGTAGGCCTTATAAAGATAGTTTTGAAAACACGTATGCCAATAAGTACCGATTACCAAGTCATTTCTTTTAAACATGGGTCTTCTACTTACTTTGGCAAGTCACATGCTATCATGAAGATCTCTTTGGATGGAGTGGTAGATATTAAGGGAGTTACATGGATAGGGAGGTGCTTTCAAATGCCGAGAAAAATAGTTAATGGTAATATACTTAAGTCACCTCTCATGAATTTTGAAATAAGTAAACTTGTCAATGATGAGAAAGTTGTAGAGGTTTTAAAATTGGTGAAGCATAACAAGTATAGTATGGTGGATAAATTAAATAATATACCTATTCGCACTTCTCTCCTATTATTGATACCGATTTTAGAACCCCATTAAAAGGCACTTCGGAAAGTTCTCGATGAAGCCTATGTTCCGAAAAAATCACTTCGATCAAATAAGCATTTGTTCAATAAAGTATAGGCCACCAACTATTTATACTTTATTGAAGATGAGCTAGAGTATGAGGGGACTGGTCACAACAATGCTTTATACATCACAATCTAATACAAGGATCATATGATAGCAAAAATGTTGATCGATAATGGATCTCCTCTTATTATGCTACCAAAGTATGTTTTGAACCATCCGTAAGTCAATCCTTCACACATGATGCCAAGCAAAATGATGGCATGAGCTTATGAGGATATCCATTGTCGAGTTATTGATGATATTAAGATTGATCCGGGTTTTAGGCCACACTAATTATAAACTATTTTACAAGTAATTAACATCCGACCTACCTATAGTCCGCTATTAGGAAGGCCATGAATCCATTCTCGCTAGAACAATCACATCCTCATTACACCAAAGGCTGAAGTATTTAGCCACTAAAAATCTAATTACTATAAGAGCTAAGGAAGCAATGGCTATGGCTAAAAATGTGTCAATTTTATACATCGAGTTAGAGGGAATTTGTGATGGGAATTTATATACCTTTAAAGTGGCTAACACTCGAATTAATTCTTGAGAATTCATAAGTGAGGAACCTTAAGTAATCTAATGTTATAAAGATGGCAGCGAAGTACATGGTAAGAGTTGGTTTGCTACCATTTTACATGGATGATGGTTTGTTTGAAAGCTTTAATCTTTTGAAATAGGAATGATAGACTAACATTTTGGGTTGAATTACAAGCCAACCAAGAAAGAATATTGTAGGATGGTCGAGCGGAAAAGCAAAAAGAGATTGGCTAGTATTGAGGGATAAGATCCCGATGATGGAGAAATAAACATCCCTCATATCCATGTTACATTACCTTGACCTTCATATATGGTGTTTATGAATGAGGAGGACCTAAACTTGGGCTAAATCTTTGATGACATGGTAGTTAACACCCCGAAGGCGAGTAGTGATTAATGGCAAGGATCGGTTTACACAATCGACATCATTATTAACCACTTTCGATGTGGTGAATCTTTTTAACTCAATATAAACATGATGGAGGACAACTTTGACATCGGTAAGATTGTTTGAAAGTGTATTGAAGATGAGGAGTTGACTTAACAAGTCCGATGAGGAAGTTCCAATCGTTTACAAGATTGAGTAAACCTTTTTTTTATCATGTTTTTCTTTGACTTTCTAGTTGAATTTTGGTTCAAATCTTGGAAAAGAACATTTGATATGGAGACTGATTTTATTTATACATAATACTAATACATCAAACTATATGAAATTTCTCTTTTAAAATAGTCTTATTTATGTTCTTTTCTCCTTGGTTTATTTGCACTTTTATTTCATTTCAAAGGCATACATTATGATCACATCTTTAAAGATGAAAATGATAGACCTAAAAAGATTGGCATAAATTTTATGAAACTTTAATTCTAATGGATGAAGAAGAATAAAAAGAGAATGATTTAAAAGAATTCATAAAAACTAGTAGATTTGTCAAAATAGTCTATTAAACCCACCAAAAAGATTTAAACGTGATTAATATAGGGACTAATGATGAAAAATGAGAGTTAAAGATTGGGACCTTAATGAAAGATGTAGAAAAAGAGATTTTGGTTTCCCTCTAAAAAGAATGCTCTAATTTATCTACTTAGTCATATGTCGACATGCCAAGATTAGACATTAAGGTAGTGGAACATATATTGCCTTTGAACTTGGGATGTAAACTAGTGAAACAAAAGCTAAGATGGATAAGGTCAAATGTTCTACTTAAAGTTAAAGAAGAGATTAAGAAAAAATGGAATACAAGATTCCTAAATCTTATTGAATACCCTCGAGTGGGTGTCAAACATAGTCATTGTGGATAAAAAGAATGGTAAAACCCTAATGTCTATCGATTTTTTAGGTCACCTATTCATTAAGAGATTAAGAGAGATAGTTTGAAAAATGACTTCCTATTACCACACATCGACGTCTTTGTTGACAATGCTATAAAGAATGCCACCTATTCATTCATGGATTAGTTTTTAGGGTATAATCAGAGTTAATATGGCTATAGATTACAAAGAAAAAAATGATGTTTGTCACATCTTGTGGAACTTTCTACTACAAATTCATGTCTTTTAGGTTGAAAAATATTAGGGCTACCTATCAAAGAGTCATAATTAAATTGTTCCATGACATGATGCATAAAAAAGTTGAGGTGTATGTGGATGATATGATTGCAAAATTTGAAGGTGACAAAGATCATTTTATAATTATAAGGAAGCTATTTGGGAGTTGAAGAGGTACTGACTAAGATTAAATGTTATAAAGTCCAAAAAATTACTGCGGTTCGTAGTAAGCGACATAGTTGAAGTTGAACCCGACAAAGTCGAGCCATTCATAGTATGCCTTTACCATCGATTGAAAAAGAAGTTAAAAGCTTTCTAAGCCGATTGAACTATACCTGATCATTTTATTTCTCAATTAACCAACATTTATGAGCTGATATTCTAGCTATTACAAAACAAGAATTCTAGTGTGTGGGATGAGGATTGCCAAGAAGCATTTAATAAAATCAAGAATAATTATAAAATCCTCCATTATTGATGCCTCTAATATCGGTAAAACCTTTGATTCTATATTTGTCAATGATAAAAGTAGGAGTGGAAAGTGTCATAGGAAAGAAAGAACAATTCATTAATTAATTGAGAAAGAAGTTCACTAATTATGAGTCAAGATACAATATATTTTTTAAAATGTATTATGGTTTAGTTTGGTGTGCATGATGACTTAAACAAAATATGCTCATTTACACCACTTGGTTACTTTTAAAAATAGATCCATTTAAGTACATATTTAGGAAACCGTATCTGTCTAGTCGAATTACAAGATGGTAGGTCATGCTATCCGAATATGAAATTATATACATGTTAAAAAAGGTAGTGAAATAAAGAACCATAGCCGATGATTTGGCGGATAATGTGATAAATGATTACAAGGCTTTGAGATTTGATT